CAGTCAGTAATTCATTCTGGTATTACCAACAATAAAGCCACATCAACCATTCCTCATACGTTAAACATGTCTATATAATCAGCAGAACAGCTTAAGCTCTAGCTAATATTGAATGCATGTTACGAGTCTAGTGTAGGAATGGTGTGGTCCTAATATTGACCAAATAAAACCTATTTATCAAATAAAAAGCCACCACGTGAACAACATTTATGTATAAATATAGGGCAGGGCCATTAATTAAAAAAGGTTCTCCTACTAACCTTTACGCATAAAGAGAAAAGTTTTGTGCTAGAAGTTGTATAAAAGTTCCAAAATACAAATTACCCTAGTAAAGATAAAGTGAAGGCTTCAAAAACTGGGACACGACGCAGGGATAATTCATGAAGCAACATCAAGATGTGGTTGAGATGTATGATGTAGAATAACATCAGGAGTTGCAGGAGAACAATTAAATCAGAATGAAGCGTGAAATTTTACAAATATGATATTATATGATATGATATGAATGGAAATTAACTACAGGCCTGCAACTTTCTAGTCAATACCTTCATGGATTGTTTCCTTCACATGGATTTGTTGACGAAGCTCAGCAATACAATCAACCTAATTCAGCAAACAGACAAGAGGACTAGAATTAATTTATGACATTACCCTAGCATGTTTGATCACTCTTGTAGAATTAATTCACTAGAAGGATTTTTTTTTTTTTTTTTTTTTTTTTTTTTTGCAACAGAAGGAAATTTGTTTATGACATTATTTCTTGTCCAAAAATTGAGAAGGAAAATAAATTGTTTATGAAATTTTCGTGCGAGCTAGAAATAATTTATGACATTAATTCTTGTCCAAAAATTGTTTATAAAATAAAATACAAAGTAATGTAGACAGACTATTATACAAACAGCATGCAGAAGAATGTAAATCTACAAAAAAATGTAAAATTTGAGGTACATTATAAATTAAGTTCTAAATAAATGAAATAAAAAGAAAAGATAGGTCTGAGTTCTTTTCTACTTCCTTAAATGCATTGATCAACATCAAAAGAACAAAATCTTGATGGATGTAGAAACATGTTTTATTTCTCAAGATATTTATGATAACACTAACCAATTTGCACAAAAAAGAGAGAAAAACACAGATAAATGAAGTAATCATTGCTAACAAAAACCTAAACATGATGAGTGAATGTTTAGTACCTCCATTTCAAGATTCTTCTGTACATTAGCAAGAGACCTTGTGAGATCAGCATTTGCACTCTGGAAAAAAAGTAAATTAGGTTATGATCCAAGTTACAGGACACAGAAGTTTTCAGTGCCACGGGCAGAAAAGGACTAACGTCCACAATGTATACCACAATATGCAATTATCCAGTTAACCATGTCTATCTTATGTGGCTCTTCAACTCCACTCAGAATGTGATTGCCATCATGCCATGTGAATGAGCAAATGAATTTTGTCTTAGCACATAATAATATACTTTAGAGATAATCCAGTGTCAACAATGGCGGACTGCGGCGGGCCAAAATATATATATATATATATATATATATACATGTTTGTACACACCCAAATATACACACATGTATAACATCGTAATGAAAACTTAAAATATGTCAAGAAATACAAAAAAGTTAATTACATGAGAAAGAGCAGAAAATCAACAAAAATGTAGAGCTTAAAAATAAAGGAGTTGTACAGTTTTATTTCAAGAAAAGGATGAAAATTTGAAACTAAAATAAATAAAGAGCTGAAAAATAATGGATAGCAAAAAAAAACTCGGTTACTTTCTATTTAATAATGGCAGCCAAAAGTATATATGTAAATTAAAATGAGTCAAAAGAATTGGGAAAAAGATGGAAAACTGGTAGGGACAAAAGGCAACTGACGGTGAACAGGAAAAAGGAGAAGGAAAGAAGGAAAAAGAAAAATAACGATCACCGGAGGGGTTGCCGCCGGGCAGGTCACCAGCAGGAGGGTGTCTTTTATCCAGCTATCCAGTAAGCAACTAGGTTTTCTTATGTAATAGATGTGGGTTGATTTTGGCAATTTTGGGTAGGCCCAGTTACCATTTCTTTTCTAGGCTGAATCTAGTCGAAAACAGCAACTTTCCACCATCAGCGCCATACCACCATGGCCACCATGGCCATGGCGGCTGCAATGGCGCCAACTTTAAAAGCCGCGCAAGGCAGCCAATATTATGCGGTCAGACTAAATTCCGCAATGCCATACCGCCATGGTGCTACCATGGCTGCTATTTAGCAACACTGAGACAATCACATCTTCAACCGCTTAAAGATTACTTTTAAAGTCAACTACAGTACCTCAAGTTCTGCTAATCGTGCTAGGGCTTCCATTCGAGTATTATTATGTTTCTGCTTCTCCAGCTCAACTGCTTCCAATGTTTCCATCATTGTTGACTGTAACTCAGAAGCCTGAAAAGGAAGAGCTATTAATACAGCCATATTGAGAGTTCTTACTATACCAGAGAATCCAATTAGCAAAACAAAGAATGACAGCCAACAGAACTGTAAGACTGGAGACTCAACTGATTATGCATGTGAAATAATGAGAGTTTGCCACTAGCTACAATGAACAAATTACATATAATCGTAGAACATAATAGATATCAGTAACAATCAGCTCTAAGTAGGTCAAATATCCATAACTAATTGAAGATGATGCATTCTGATCAATTATGCAAAAATTATGTCAGTAATATCATGTCATTCGATCATGTCATTTATTACAGGTATTTTTCGCTCATCCAGACAAACTTCAATTGTTATCTTAAAAAAAAATGTTAAGTTTCAAGTATATGTCTTTATCAAGCCCTTTCTTAATCTGAGGAAACACTTGTCATAATTGTTGTAGCATATAAATTAGCCATGCTGCATTATTCTAATTATTTCTCAGACAGGTATTCATTATGTACTCATAACTTCAAGTGGAGCATATTTTAAATAAACAAATGACATTTGGCCGGGTAAGGACCTATGTCCACTAAATGACACATCATTCACATATCCGAACCAACTAACAAGTCTCAAAATAAGGTACCACAAAAAATAATGCAATCAAGAGTAACCTTAGAGAATTAAGATGGATCGGCTTATTAACATTTCTGTGCTGGAATTTCACTGCTCTTAAAAGTTATAAACCAAACAGATACCGGGTGATGCCATCTGAAGATACTATGCACCTACACAAATGCAGTTCATATTCTCCTTGATTGACCAAAAACACTTAGTTAAGTCGGATAGTCACTAGAGCAAAAATTGTAAAGATCTTAGGATGAGTAACTATTCAGTATTGAATAGTAGAGTATGATATACAAATTACTAAGATTTAAAGGTGAGTGAAAAAATAATGATCTAATATAATATAAGGTCCACAAACCTAAAAAAAATAAAAAATAAAAAAATAAAAAGAAGAAGAAGAAGAAGCCTGAGTAACATGCTAAGTAAAGAAGAAAAAACCGATACAAAGTGTTTACCTGTTCTTTAAAGAAATAAGACACACAAACACCCAATAACATTAAGAAACTCAGTAACCTGAGAAAAAATTTAAGGATACAGCCCATAAACATCATTGTCATAGACTTAGAAATATGGACTACATAACCATACTTCTATTATACTTTTTTTCTCCAAAAGTTGATTTGTAAAGAATTCTTCTCATAAGAAAGAGTCAGTTAACAAAAGAATGAACGGACAACTTAAGCACCATATATTTAAAAACGAACGATAGACCTTTACCTACATTATTCAGTTAATGTAGGTTTAGTATAAGAACACGGAATAGATGGACCTCAATCACCACAATATACGAAAAACTACTAAGTTTGAAAAATGAATATATATGAGCTCACCTCCTTTACTTGCAGTTTGGCTCGCTCTTCAAGTATTTTCTCCAAACTTTGTTTCTCCCCTTCCAATCTAGCAACCAAATTCTCACGTTCTATAATTGCCTGGGCTGCTTTTGCAGCAGCTCTTTCAGCTAACATCTGTTGCCTCCTCTTTCTCCTTTCTTCCCTTTCTCTTTCACTCTCCGAATCTGATGAGGAGGAAGTATCTGTCTCTGTATTGGATGACTCTCCATCACTTGGTTGAGAAGATACCGTCTTCACAGAACCCAAAGACCTATTGCTTGCACTAGAATCCCTCTTAAACGCCTCACCATTATCCAGTCCCACCTTCGTATCCAGCTCATTTTCACGAGAAATTGGCATAATTTGCCAGGAATTGTCTGAATTATTCTGTACCTTGTCTCCATCCACAGAATCATTCAAAACTTCAACTTTCCCCATGTTCTCAATTTTGGGGTTACTAACAGCAAGTGTCAAGCCACTGTTCATGTAACCCGATTCACCTCTACTACTTGGCGACTGGGAACTTGATGTTCTTGGTGTTACATCCCCAACATTACTTGCCTTCTCATCAAAATCTGAACTGGTGCTATTCTCCAACTCAACATTTGTTTTTTTATAACTCTTGGAGACCCCATTAGTCGATAATTTTTTACCCTTCCCATCAACCGTAGAGATATTCTTTCCTGGACTAGAACTGCCCAAGTTCTTCTTATCTTGCTTCAGGGTCCGAATTCCCGATACTCGATTACTACTCCGGCCCAAACTTCCTCCACCAGATACTCTTTTTTTCTCCGGCAAACTGAGCAATTCTGTCCAATCACCATCTGAGGGTCCTCCACTCATACTTGACTTTAAACTTTGGTTCGTGGACAATGTTGTATCGTCATCCCGATAAATAACACTGTTATTTCTACTGATGACATTTGAACTCGGTTTATCCATGTTGAGAGAACTTTGGTTTAACACATTTTCAGTATGTTTTTTCTTCAGCTGGTCCTTTATTAATGGCTTAGTATCAGGTGTTCTTGGTGAACTTTCACCACGTAATTGATCATCTGCTAGCAACTTATCATTCTTTCTGAGTGATTCTGCAGCTTGCTGATCGATCTGAACCACCAATCAAATGGAGAACATTCAAAATCAAACACCATTACTATATACGCAGCGATCTACTATATATTACATTCTGAACTTTATTGCATTTCACCATGTAGCACTATAACAGCCATTGTTTAACATAAAAAAGGAAAAAAAAAAAAGAAAAATAAGAAACATTTGTTTACAACGAAAGGAAATGAAACTAGCATTTTGTATCATAAGATAAATAGGTCCGTAACTAAATTTTCGAAATTCTCTTTGTTCTCCAATAATTTTATGAGCTCTTCAAGAATAAAGTTAATAGATGGAAATGCCCGAGTAAATAGACGTATATCAAAAGGACGCTAATACATTTGATGAATGATGTGCATTCATATGTCCACCAACCAGTTGATTTGTTTGAATCAACTCTTACATTGTGAATTATCAAATCTAATTTTCTCATACAACAGATTTCACCAAGTCCAGTTTCAGTCTGAATAGATTACAATCAATCCCAAATAGCATGATCCTAATCAGAAGTACGCAATCAACAAGGTGGAAAGATGATAATCCAATTCTAAAGCATCCAAATGACAAACCAAAAAAATTAACAGGAAAAAAACAATGTACAGCGAGTTGGAATCGTTCCGATTCTAACGATGGTACAATCTACTGAGAGCCAAACCTCGCTAGAATGAGGATTTACGTACCTGTTGGAGTAGGGTTTCAGCGGCTCTGAGCTTAGAGGAGATCCAATGAGCCATTGATAGAGGTTAACTGAGGCGAGAGCTTCGGTCGATGCGTAGAGATCGGTTCTATTCACCCAAGCTGTAGAAGACGGTGGTTGTCTTGAGTGAGTTTGGAGATATGTCGGGTATGGGGCGGACGCAGATCAACGGGGGCACAAATTATGGTCAACGGTCAACGTAGGAGGTCAACGGTCAAATTAATATTTAACTATTTAAAAAATAAAAAGATTAAATCTTGATCGAACACTATTTTTCGTATTTAATGGTTGCGGTTGAGTCTCACATTCTCATTTCAAAAATAGGGACATATTTGATCCAATTCCTATGTAGTATATACATTTATGTATAATATTTTTTTTATATATTTTGGGAGGAGAAAGAAAATAAATAAGAAATTGAGTATAGCATAAAAATAAATTAATTCCACAACTTAATAAATAACATACTAGTTAAATAATTCTAAATATTTTCTTTTTATTTTTTATATTGAAATAATTATATAATAATTAATAACATGTATTTTTTATATCAATATAATAAATACATTTATACATATAATAAATATATATATATATAAATACACTTACTACAAATTCTACA